AGCCAGGCCCAATTTTTGTATTTATCTGCAATTCTGAATGGATGATCTTGGAACTTTGCATATTTATTCCTTAATTTTTTTGTTAATATTTAGTCTCTAAGTTTGGCAAAACAAACCCAACACCTATCCTTCTTTGCCTCTTGTTCTTGTCATATTACAGCTATTTCATACTTCAATCTCTTCATTTTAAAGATAGGTTGCCAGGCAACGAAACATACGCCCACAGCAGCTAAATCGTCCGAGCGGTCGACAAGGGTTGTCACATATATATTCCTTTGTGGGTTTTTCGGGGCCTTTACAAGACAGTTCCATACAGATCAGATTATAAATTTTGTAGTTTGAGGATTTACAAGGTTCTACAAATTGAAACAAGGGTCTCAACTTTGGAAGTAATCTACAGAAATTGTTGAAATTTGACAGGCTTTTTCGTTTTACTAATTTAAATAATGCATATAAATTTCATACAGATCACATGATCACTTTTGTCATTCAAACGTTCACAAGGTTCACAAATCGCCATAACTCTAGAAATTATTGACGGAAATTGCTGAAATTCAATAGACCTCTGTTTCACAAATTTAAATGATGCATATAAATTTCATACATATCGGATGATAACTTTCATCAATCGAGCATTAACAAGGTTTAACAAAGTGAAACAAGGGCCATAACTCTAGAAGTAATTATTGTAAATTGCTGAAATTCAATAGGCTTCGTATTTTCACTAATTTAAATAATGCATATAAATTTCACAAAGATCCGATGATAACTTTCGGCGTTGGAGCGTTCACAAGTTTCAATAAAGTGAAAAAGAGCCATAATTCTAGACATAATAAACGGAAATTGCCGAAATTCAATAGGATTGTTCGTTTCACTAACTTAAATATTGCATATACATTTCACAAAGATCGTATGTTAACTTTTGGCATTAGAGCGTTCACAAGGTTCAACAAGGGCCATAACTCTAGAAGTAATAAATGGAATATGCTGAAATTCAATAGGATTCTTCTCTTGACTAATTTAAATGACACATGTAAATTTTACACAGAGCGTTCCCATGGTGCAACAAAGTGAAACAAGGGCCATAACTCTAGATGTAAACAAAAATTGCTGAAATTCAATAGGATTCTTCGTTTCACTCATTTAAATAATGCATATAAATTTCACAAAGATTGGGTGATAACTTTTGGCGTTAACAGCATTCAAGTGAAACAAGGGCCATAACTCTAGACGTAATAAACGGAAATTGCTGAAATTCAATAGGCTTCTTCGTTTCACTAACTTAAATATTGCATATAAATTTCACAAAGATCAGATGTTAACTTTTGGCATTAGAGCGTTCACAAGGTTCAACAAGGTGAAACAAGGGCCATAACTCTAGACGTAATAAACGGAAATTATTGAAAATAAATAGATTTCTGCATCTCACTAATTTAAACAACATATATCAATTTTAAAACAATTGGATGAAAACTTTTGGCATTAGAGCGTTCACAAGAAATTGTGGACAATGGGCGGACCGATGGACGGGCTGACAGGCGGGGGCGATGGCAATATACGTCCACATCGGTGTATAAAAAGTACCATATCAATGAAAGCAAGGAGTGGACGTATATTGCAGTGTTATCGAGGGTCTAATCTTTATGACTCAATCATCAGCCCCAGTTTTCTTCCTTCATGAGTCATTTCCCATTGATTCGAGAACGTTCATGTCGTGGAGTTGGATTCCAAATTAATTATGACGGAAAAACAAAACTAAAGGAAGTTGTAAATACTTTGGCACAAGACGTAATAGAACAATATTCAAGCATTTGGGCCTCAACAAAAATATTTACATATACATGTAATTTAAAATTGTCCATCCAACACTTTTAAAAATAACACACTATTCAAAACAATTCATACTTCTGTCAGACTGGTAAATAGATAATCTCCTACCAGTCTTTTTTGATATCAAAAAAGACGATTGGTTGAATGTCAGCTGGTGTAGGACACGCTGAACCAACAACCAAAGACCACTCGGACCAAGATAGAAGACCGATCGGACCAAGATTAAAAGATCAGTCGGACCAAGATAGAAGACAGGTCAGAACAAGATTAAAAAACCAGTCTGACCAAGATAGAAGACAGGTCGGAACAAGATTAAAAGACCAGTCACGCCACAATTTTTGTGTTTGTTTAAGTACATGTACATGGGCCAAGATATAAAGAACACTCATAGGAGACCACTCAGACCACAACAGTTGCGTTGGTTTTATTACATGGGCCGACATATAAGAACTTTTGGACCAAAGTAAAATAATACTTAATATATTGTTTTTATTTTATTATCATTATTTATTAAATTAATCTGGATAACATGAACAACAATAACATTAAACTAGAACTGCTGTGATGCCAGGTTTTACCGGTACTACATAACCCTTGAACTGACATCACTTCCCATATCAATGGAAACGTTGAACATGTTTCCACATGGGCACTGCACACCTTTTATAAAGCCTTAAAATACAGATGCGACGTCATCTTTTGATGTTGGCGTCCCATTTTTTCAAATAATTATTTTTAAATAATGGTACGAGCAACTTGCCAATCGTACATTATCTATACTAGATGAAATATTGGACTCGCATGTCTTATTTTATTGAAAAGCACGTGCAGGATAGTGTCTGTATTTTAAGTTGTTTAATGGCCTCGAGCTTAAGACATCGTGTGATATATTGAAACAACTATCGGCTAATGCCTTCTGCAGTATCAATATACTACTTAATGCCTCGTTCTCCACCATTAAACCATACATATTAAACTGTGAAAAATGTTACGTTTCTGACAAAAGTGGTTATTATACTCGGTGTCTGTCGGTGTCTGTGATTCTCCTAAAACGGCGAACGGCAAAAAAATAGGGATAATGCGACTTGATGATCGGAAATTCACAACGAAATGAAGAAATGCCATGTGTTGATAATACGAGAAGGTGTATATTTTAAATGCCATTTCAAGACAAAGAAACATTGCTGATCAGTGGCGATAGCCAAAGTGTCTAGCCCAACCGGGTCTATATGGGAAAGTGTTAGACTTTTTAAAAGAGACAGGTTTTTATCATAAATTTTAATTTGTATTTATATATCATTTCATTTTTGTATTTTAGATAGTTATATGCATAAAAGATTGATTTTATTTTTAATGTTACTTACTGTGATATTGTTTTTATTTATGCATGTAATTTGTTCTGTGATATAATTTAGCCTGTCTCGAAATAATCACCATATGTTTGGCGCAATATAGCCCAGTTGGAGCTGACATGTCATAAAACCACATTTCATTTCATTTCCAAAGTGTCTAGGCCAATACCCCCCTCACCCCCCCCCCTTTTAAAACTTTAAAGCTATATTACCCTAGCTCCTATAAAACTTTAAAGCTATATTACCCCAGCTCCTATCAAACTTTAAAGCTATATTACCCCAGCTCCTATCAAACTTTAATGCGAACTTACCCCAGCTTCTATAAAACTTTAAAGTGAAATTACCCCAGCTCCTATAAATCTTTAAAGCGAAATTACCCCAGCTCCTATAAAACTTTAAAGCGAAATAACCCGAGCTCCTATAAATGAAATGAAATGAAATGGAGTTTAACGTCCTACTGTTCTGCTCCTAACCTGGGCTAATGAAGACGAGCATACGCCATACAGTGTGCTATGAGGGAAATTTTGCCCGGACAGCGGCACTACGGCCTACTCTTATATCGAATTCCGACTGCCAAGGGATCTTTTACGTGCACGCCAATGTGTACACGGGACCTCGGTTTTTCGTCCCATCCGAACGATTAGACAGCTTTCCTTGTCAGCCCCTCCGTCCTGCATCACTGACAAGGGAGAACCACGCCGGAAAATCTGGATGAACTTTCTCGGCCAATGCAGGGATTGAACACCCGACCTCCAGGCTAGCGACCGAGCTCCTATAAAACTTTAAAGCTATATTACCTGAGCTCCTATAAAACATTAAAGCGAAATTACCCTAGCTCCTATAAAAATTTAAAGCTATATTACCCGAGCTCCTATAAAACTTTAAAGCTATATTACCCGAGCTCCTATAAAACATTAAAGCTATATTACCCTAGATCCTAAAAAACTTTAAAACCATATTACCCCAGCTCCTGCAAAATATTAAAGTGAAATTACCCCAGCTCCTATAAATCTTTAAAGTGAAATTACCCCAGCTCCTACAAAACATTAAAGTGAAATTACCCCAGCTCCTATAAAACTTTAAAGCTATATTGTCCCAGCTCCTATAAAACTTTAAAGCTATATTACCCCAGCTCCTATAAAACTTTAAAGTGAAATTACCCCAGCTCCTATAAAACTTTAAAGCGAAATTACTCTAGCTCCTTTAAAGATATGTTCCCGTGTACAAAAACATATTCAAACTAATCAATCTATCAAAATTCTGCTTCAAATCCTTTTCAAAACACTGCAAAAAAATCAATTAAAAGAGGCCATGTTTGTGTCATGTGACTTCACTGACAAACTACCTAGCAACGGGTGTGAAGTCGGAGGAGAATTCATTACAAACACAAGACGATGTTGTCTTTAATCGCTATCCTTTTATCATGTATATCGAAGCCTAATTAAATTCTTGGATTATCCACTGCCCGCATCTTTTTCCGTGATTGTTATCTCCGTGTTGTATGTCTAACTCTTCATAAAGTTTATCAAGATGTACATCAAGCACTCAATCTCTGCGTGCAACCTTTGACGTCATACGAGTAGACATTCCTAATCGTCATGCTGCCAATTAGGGAAACCCTTACATTTTTGTCCTGTATGCGCTCCAGGGAATCCAGTATTTTTCTGGTAAGATTGGATATTTCTACTTTCCATATATACCAAAATTGCCATACTTTTATTGGAAATAACCACTCGATAAATACTTTTCTGGGAACGTATCTTTAAAGAGAGAGAAGGAAATGAGGTTTAAAAAGTCCACTCGACACAAATTAGGTCATTTCAGGACTAACATATGGTTTAATTTTATTTCAATAATTCGCTTGCGCGTAGGGGTCTTTTAGCAGTTGGAGGACCCAGAGAAAACCCACGAGGTTGGACAGGCGACCCTACTCCTTGTCGCGTACAACCGGGGATTCGAAACCACGCCATTTGACTCAATGACAGTCCTTATGATACAGCACGCATGTGCTAATCATTCGGCCATTCCCCCCCCCCACCCACACCGTATCTTTAAATCTTGCCAGTATGAGTTTTCATGTGTCTTTTCAGATAACCACGTGCAGTAAATGATTTATCACAAACATCACATTTAACAAATCTTTCCCTTGAATGAGTTTTCATGTGTTTCTGTAGATTAGTATTGGTACTAGATGATTGACCACAAACATCACATTTATAGGGTTTTTCACCCGTATGAACCATCATGTGAGATCGTAGACAGCTACGAGTAAAAAAATGTTTTCTACAAACATCACATTGAAAAGGCTTTACGCCAGTGTGACGTCTCATGTGCGTTTTTAGAATAGTACTGGTAACAAAAAGGCTACTACAAAGATCACATTTAAATGGTTTCACTTTAGTATGCGTTCTCATGTGTCTCTGTTGATGCCATTGCTGAGTAAAGGATCTATCACAAACATTACATGTAAAAGGCTTTTCGCCGGTATGAATTCTCATGTGCGTTCGTAAACCAGCGTGGAGAGTAAAAAGTTTACCACACACATCACAATTATAAGGTTTTTCCCCAGTATGAATTCGGTTGTGTTTTCTGAGATCGTTAGACGTACTGAATGATTTACTACAAACATCACATTTATAAGGTTTCTTGCCTGTATGTATATTCTGGTGAGTCCGCAGATAGCTCTTGCTAGTAAATGATTTACTACAAACATCACATTTATAGGGTCTCTCACCCGTATGAATTCTCATGTGTTCATCTAACTTTCCCCTATAAGTAAATGATTTATCACAAACATCACATTTATACACCTTCTCTCCAGGGTGAATTTTTATATGAATCTGCAAGTCTGAATGGTTAACAAAAGATTCCTGACAAACACAACATGAAAATGGTTTTTCGCCAGTATGAATGGACATGTGTTGCTGTAGACTACAACTCTGGTTAAATGACTGGCCACAAACATGACATTCACATGATTTTTCTCCCGTATGAATTCTCATGTGAATTTGAAGGCAATAGTTTTTAATAAAAGATTTACCACAAACATCACATTTATATAAATTTTGTATTTCTGTTTCATTGATCTGACCAAAAGTTTTCTCAAAAATTTTACCATGCTGTAAAACTGTATGTATTTCACAGTGTTTTTCTAAATCTGTTTCTGATTTAAATTCTTCAGCACATAAATTACACTGATAAACAGTTTCAACATCTTCAGTTTTTTCTTCTTTGACATGACAATATTCATCTGCATCGTGAGTTTTCTCTGCTTTAACATTAAATTGAACATGACAATATCCATCTACATCATCAGTTTTCTCTTCTTTAACATGTATTTTATTGTGTTTTTCTAAATCATCATATTGTTGAAAAATCTCATCACATACAAAACACTGGTGAAATGTTTCAACATCATTAGTTTCCTGTAATATATAAAAGTTATAACATCATTAGCTTCCTGTAATACATGTATATATAAGTTATAACATCATTAGTTTCCTGTAATATACAAAAGTTATAACATCATTAGTTTCCTGTAATATATAAAAGTTATAACATCATCACATGTAGTTTCCTGTAATATATAAAAGTTATATATGTTTGATCATGTAAGGACAAGCTTTTTTTGCTATAATTGTTCAAAAATAGATCCTGAAAATTGAATGTATTTACGATTTCATTCCAATTACTTTATTCTGAGCGAAGTTATGGATGTTGGAAGATGTGAAATGAAATGAAATTGGATTTAACGTCCTTCTGTTTTGCTCCGAACTGGACTAATGAAGACGGGCATACGCCATACAGTGTGCTATGAGGGAAATTTTGGCCTACTCTTATGTCGAATTCCAACTGTCAAAGGTTTTTTTAAGTGCACACCAATATTGTGTACACGGTTTTTCGTGCCATCCAAATGACTAGACAGTTGCACATACTGACTCTAGCAAGGTAAGCATTGCAAGATCTTATTTTCTCACTAAAATGTTCATTTACATTGTACAGGCGTTTGCAGGGACTGACACACGACTGTTTAGCAGTGAAAAGTTGGCCAGTAAAATTGACTGGGAAGCAAAAGTGTTTCGAATAGATTCAATAGGACGATTCCTGAACGTACAGGGCAAGTGTAATGAGACCTACGTTCAGAGCTGAACTAATAATGAAGATGATAATATGAGATAATATTTTACATACTAGACGACACATATTCTATTCGGGGATCAGGTGGCTAAGTGGGTAAGACGCTGGCTCGCTAGCCTGGAGGTCGGGTGTTCGATCCCTGCACTGGCCGAGAAAGTTCATTCCAATTTTCCGGCGTGGTTTCCCCTTGTCAGTGATGCAGGACGGATGATACGAAAAACCGAGGTCCCGTGTATACATTGAAATGCACGTAAAAGACCCCTTGGCAGTTGGAATTTGATATGAGTAGGCGATAGTGCCACTACACGGGCAAAATTTCCCTCATAGCACACTGTATGGCGTATGCCCGTCTTCATTAGCCCACTATAGGAGCAGAACAGTAAGACGTTAAACCCCATTTCATTTCATATTCTATTCACTTTTTTATTTTATTGATTAAATAAATATTCCCCCTATCTTTCTTTGTTTTCTATCTATTTCAGGAATGTAACCTCGATAATACAGCAAGACGTATGGCCATGGTATCCATATAAACGCAAAGGCCCTGAGCTCGATAGGAAATTTGAAGTCAGGGTCAAAGTCAAGGTCACAGCGATATTCACACGTAAAGACCAATCCAACTGGTCAACGCCAAATAGTCGTTTATAGAAATTGGTGGTTTAGCACAAAAATTTAAATATACGGAAATTATTGTTATTGTCATGAACTGCAGTGTTAGGCAGGAAGCGCAGTGTGTTGGAACCCGTCTTAGTGTCTTATTATTCGAGTCTAAATAGTCAACAAACAAAATGGCGTCAAAATCAGATAAACTGTTCTCTCGGCAGAAGCTAAACTATGGTAAAAAAAGGTTATTGACCGATTTGGCTGAAATTTGGTGTGAGGTCATGGCTAGTCCCCTTGAACATTTCCTGAAAATTTCAAGTCTCTACGATCACGGGAACTGGTAGAGGTACGTTACTGAAATAGTCTTGATTTGTTTAATAAGAGCAAGTTAAAGTGACACCATCTTGTTGCAAACTAGTCTCGACACCAACATGGCTAAACATTTTATTTCCAAACACAGAATAGTGGCCCTTGGATACAAAAGTCCAAAATAAATTCTATAAGTCGCCATGATGTACGGGTGCCAGTCAAGTTGTCCACAAGCAAAGTCGTCCACAATGAAGTCGTCCATACCCGTTGGATGAGTCGTCCACAAGGCATTGGTGATATCGTCCACAGCTATTGGTGATGTCGTCCACAACTAAGAATGCTTCCATGTTGATCCATGTACATATATTTTGTATAAAACTATTCATACGTATCTTCGAGCAAATACTGTTCATGTATAATTCTATTCCTACCTTTCATAGTGTAAATATTTTCACATTTATCAAACAGCACATCTAATATATTTATTATCATTATGTAAAACATTTGTTCCGGATTTTATGCATGTTTGATGTTGTTAAAAGGGCAAAATGTAAAAAAGGCCCCAGGCCTAATTTTCTACCATTTTGAAATAAAGTGATTATTATTATTATTATTAATCGTATGGAAGAAATAGCTAATACACGTTGTCTGTTTTTTTACTTGATTTCAGATCGAATCACCAATGTTTTTGTAATAAAGTTAATCGTATTGTTTGATTATTGTATTGTATGATCATTGTTTTGATGTTAGATCGGCATTATGATTTTAGTTTGATTTGTTATTTTGTTGTTCACCGATGTTTTTGCAATGAAGTATACTAGTATTGTTTGTTATTTGGCGTTATGATTTTAGCATTTTTAATTGTTTGATTAGTATTAGCGATGTTTTTGTAATAACGTGTTCCAAAAACGGGTGTGGGCGACTTAACCTGGTGGCTGTTTTTTTTTTATGTCGACGACTTGACTAAGTTGACTGGCATTCTGATGTACGGACAGTACGGTATTGATTTGTTAATTCAAAATAGCCTACCATTATTTTGTTAAGAATTTCTGTTGTTAATTTGTGAAGCTGTTGTGCGAATGAATGTTTATAATAAAAACACAACACCAGATTGCTGATCTGTCTCTTCTACAACTGCAAGTCAAGAAAATAGGTATTCATTCAGTAATAGTAAACAACTCTTCGGTAAAGAACAAAGCAACGCCATCTTCCGGAAGGTTAGAGGCTACGTCACGGAAAACAATCATTTCCGGTGTCAGGTTGTATATTTAAAAAAGTATGGGATCTTTTTCAACCCGAATAACTCACAATCAAATGTAATTCAGGGCATTCAGAAAAACAAAGAATGAAATTGTCTATGACGCGCTGTGTACCCAAGTCTACCCAGATCCGAGATCTTTGTGTTATAAACATACATTTCAAAGCTCATCAAATGGGAAAAAATAGTGACCTCTAGAGTGTCTACAACGTTGGAATTACATACATTGTACATTTACACAGTGTGCATATGAGGAGCGGCCATTTTGTCAGGCAGTCTAGGTCCGATTTTTAGGAAATTCAAACTCAACTGTCATTATGATGTAACGGTGGTATATTTGAACGTATTTTAAAATCGAAAAAAATTGTGACTTCTGAAGGCCCCAGAAGCTACAAATGCGATTTGTCTTACATTCGGAAGCCATAATCTCTGGAACGAGGTGTCAGGCGCGGATTTAAGCAGGGGTGGGGGTGGGTAAAGTAGGAAATTAACCCCAAAGGATAATTCTCGGATTTGGGGGGGGGGGGGGTAGGGGGTCGAGTCGCGTGTTTCCCCATACAATCCTCTCGGATTCACAAGGTTACATATCATTTTTTCAATGCACGGATCCCTGCATTGGCCGAGATAGTGCAACCAGATTTTTCGGTGTGGTTCCGCCTTGTAAGTGATGCAGGATGGAAGGTCTGTCAAGGTTAGCTGTCTAGTCGTTTGGATCCTGTGTACACATTGGTGTGCTCGTAAAAGATCTCTTGACAGTTTGAATTCGATATATAAAAGCGGGCCGTAGTGCCGCTGTATTTCCCTCATAGCACACTGTATGCCCGTCTTCATTAGCCCAGTTTGGAGCAGAATAGTAGGAAGTTAAACTCCATTTCATTTCATTTCATTACTTTTAACCTTTCAATGTAAAATGTCAAATTGCGATTTGATTAAAGGAGATAATTTCAGTTAATGATAGAGATAATATACCAAGCTATTTTAAAAAGTTATTGTGTCAAATCTGTAATTAAAATCTGGTGGGGTTTTTTATCCTACAGATATTGAAAACATCTAATATTTTTAATAATTTATTGCGTCAAAAAGTTAATATTAATCTGTACATTTTTTATTCACAAGATATTAATTGTTTTTTAGTAACGTTCTTGTATTTTTTTAGCTCAGAAATGTTAATAAAACCTAAGTTGTCATGTTTCATATATCAGGTTGTTATTCTGCTCATATGAATTATCATTAATAAAACACAAGTTGTCATGTTTCATGGAGAGAATATTATCTGAACTGTATTCATTCTATATTGGTTATATACAGGTTGTCATGGATACTATATTGGCAAATACATTTCTGTACCATCCAGTCTAATGATGACAGCATATGCCATGTACTGTGGTATGAGGGAGTTTTGATGCTTTTTTATTGAATTGTTTTTCGTCCAACACCTTGCCATACCCTGCGTCATGTACCACACCTTGCCATTCCCTCCGTCCTCTACCACACCTTGCCATACCCCCAACTCCACCCCACCCCCGTCGTGTACCACACCTTGCCATACCCTCCATCTTGTACCACACCTTGCCATACCCTCCGTCCTCCACCACACCTTGCCATACCCCCACCCCACCCCCGTCGTGTACCACACCTTGCCATACCCTCCATCTTGTACCACACCTTGCCATACCCTCCGTCATGTACCACACCTTGCCATACCCTCCATCTTGTACCACACCTTGCCATACCCTCCGTCATGTACCACACCTTGCCATACCCTCATCATGTACCACACCTTGCCATACCCTCATCATGTACCACACCTTGCCATACCCTCCGTCGTGTACCACACCTTGCCATACCCTCCGTCATTTACCATTAACAAGTGGAAACAAGGCTAGAAAGTGCTGCCGAATGTTCTAAGCCAAGGCCGGTATTGGACCCCCGGAATCTTGATGCTTTTGCCCCGAGGACAAGACACACAATATGCGTACACTAAAATCAATAAATGCACCATGGGTGAAATCTTGCCTGGGCAGCGACCTCCATCAAATTCCATTCGCCAAGGGTCTTTAACGTGCACACAACTTTTGCATCTATACCCATCCCCACGACTTGACATTGTTCCTTGCCAGGTCCCCATCCTTCACTGCTGACAAGGGGAGACCACTCAGTCTTTCACCATTGCCACAGAGAGACCACTTCGTCCGTCACCATCGACAAGGCGAGACCACTCCATCCTTCGCCGCTGACAAGGGGAGACCACTCATCTGAAGTCTACCACATTGAAAATACAAATTATTTGTCAATTTAAATCAACATTATTGTTGAGATCTTACCAGGAAAAGATGGGCTTCATATATCTAATATTTTACACAAAATAATGTACCATGTCAAACGGTGACCCCATATTTTTATCTGGAGAGCATGCACAATAGTCTGGAATAATCAGACGCTTGAGATTGCCATTTGATTGAGACTTCTGGCGTATTCCGCCGAACATAACTGATTTCAGATTAGAGTAAAAAATGGAAACGATTGAATGTAAATCAGTTTATATACATTCATATTACATTATTATATGTTTTGCGACCCAGTTGTGTCCATTTCTAGGTGCCAAAGAATAGCTAGAAATCAATTCTATCAGAAAATAATATTTTAGTTAATGAAAAAGTTAAGGTTAAAATACGACTTCGAAATATAAAACATGTGACCTCTTTCTTTTCTTCCGATGTCAGGCCCTCCCCCAACAAATACATACCAACAAAAATTGCACCAACTAACACACACCAACAAACACACACCACACACGCATCAAAAAACACGCACCACAAACATGCACCAACAAACACGCACAACACACACATGCATCAACAAACACGCACCACAAACATGCACCAACAAACATACACCAACAAACATGCACCACAAACACACATGACTGACGGGAATAAACCATGCTCAACAATCCCGACAAACATTCTTCGCCAACACCGGGATCGTTCATTAGATTTCCTGGTCGGTAAAGCTTAGTTCACACCCAGTCGTAGTGCTACCATGGGCAGTCTACGACGGAAATTTTAGTAAACCCTGCGCGAGACTTACGACTTACGCGTCAATAGCGTGTGTTCAGCACCGTAGAAGATCATAGACTTTTGGTCCAACACATACAAAGCTTTCACCTGTATGTGAGCTACCTGACCCTACGACCTGTGCCTGTCGAAACACGTATGGCAGGATGTGAGCTAGGCTTTAGCCTGTTCACTCTGTATGGAATTAAACTAGTTTTCATGACAAAAAGCTTTTTTTAATTCATAGACTTAAGGCATAAATAAATCACAGGTAGGGCAAAATTTCATAATGTGCTTCATTTTGAGATAATTATAATACACTAAATACATTGATCATTATAGTACACTAAATACACTGATAATCATAATAAACTGATAATTATAATAAATACACTGATAATTATAATATACTAATTGCAATGATAATTATAATAAATACACTGATCATTATAATAGACTAAATAGAATTCAAATTAAAATAAACAGTGGACTCTTGTCACATCCGACATCTGAATACTATGGCATTCTGTGAAATCCGACATCATTTTCATGTCCCGATTTATTTCCTTATTACTTCAGCCCAAAAAGCTCTGAGTAATCAGTATTCTGAATATTCCGAATTACGACATCAATCAGCTGTCCCGTCGCACGATTTCCATTGAATCAACATTGTATAATCAGACCTTCAATCGGTAGGTGTGAAGCCACAAAAACTTAACAGGCAATCACCCATCAATTATTGGCAAGATTAAAACGCGCTTGTGTAGGTCTTTGTTGATTACTTTGATAATTTTATAATCTCTTGTAAGAGAGCGCTTGGTACTTGATTTACCTGTCAGTCAATTGATCAACCAATCGTAAGGCTTGTATGACAAGTGTTATTTATTCTGATTGGCTCAAACAACTCAACCGTCAAATGACAGATTATCAATGAACACATGACGACAACCAGAACATAGAACGACCGATTATCAATGAGCATGGGACAGCAAAAACAGGTGTGCAATCAATTAAAGACGGAGACGATGAAGAATATAAATTAATGACCGACTTTAAATGGTTATATGAATATAAAATAAATTGTAAATCTGTAAATATGCATTGTTATTGTTAGATATTATAATGTTATAAAATTTTGAATGTACAGACAGGTTTATCATTTTTAAAGGGAATAACGTTCTGGGGTTTTGAAGCCACATTATAATAATACTTCCAGTTTTGAGAAAACTGAGTATTCGGACAATCTGCGTAATCCGACATATTATGACAATCCCATATGATGTCGGATTGGACAGAGTCCACTGTACTAATTACATTGATAATTATAATATACTAAATACATTGAATAGAAAGATAAATATAAATGAAATGAAATGGAGTTTAACGTCCTATTGTTCTGCTCCGAACTGGGCTAATGAAGACGGGCATGCGGCACACAAGTGTGCATTTACGGACATTTAGCCTGGACAGTGGCGCTAAGGCCTACTCTTATAAAGGGATCTTTACGTGCACGTAAATGTGTAATGAGGGAAATTTTGCCTGGATAGCAGGACTACGGCCTACTCTTATATCGAATTCCAACTGTCATGTGTACATCCGAATGACTAGACAGCTGTCCTTGTCAGACCCTCCATCCTGCATCACTGACAAGCGGGAACCACGCCGGAAAATCTGGATAAACTTTCTCGGCCAATGCAGGGATCGAACACTGATTATTATAATACATAAACTAAATCTGAAAGGTTTCCGGACATAATGAGTTTCACAATGTTATTATAAATGGTGGCTCTCAGTAAATTATTTACCACAATGGGCTCAACACAAACTAGGTCATTTTGGGACATACATAATAATATGGTGCCATTTTATTTCAATAATCCGCTGGTGTGTAGGGGTCTTTAAACAAACGACCCTACGGTACCTTTTTTCCTTTTATTTACTAAAGCCTTTAGAGTGTCCACAAGATTTTTCAAAGTAATCAAGGGCCATAACTCTGGCAGTAATTATCGGAAATCTTTGAAAATGAATAGGATTCTTTGTCTCATGACCTTAAAAACTGTGTATAACTTTCCAATACCTATCTTATTAAGACTTTACACACTTGTTTCATGTGGAAAATAAATGAAATGAAATGAGGTTTAACGTCCTAAAGTTCTGCTCCGACTGGGCTAATGAAGACATTAAAACCCATTTCATTGCATTTTTTTTGTGTGAATTTTCATGTGAGTCTGTAGATTACAATTCTGGGTAAATGAAATGAAATCGGGTTGAAAGTCCTACTGTTCTGCTCCGACTGGGCTAATGAAGACATTAAGGCCATATCATTTCATTTTTTTGGTATGAATTTTCATGTGAGTCTGTAGATTACAATTCTGGGTAAATGATTTAAAACAAATATCACATCTGAAAGCCTTTCTCCTATCTCCCATATGAATATTCATATGAACAACCAGGTAACTCTTCCGTTTAAATGATTTTCCACAAACATCACATTCATACGGTTTTTCTTCTGTGTGTGTGGTCATGTGTTGCTGTAAGATTTCAATTCGACTAAATGATTTATTACAAACATCACATTTGAATTGCCTTTCACCTGTATGTGTTTTGACATGTCGCTGTTGGTTACCCTTGTCACGAAACGACTTATCACAAAAACCACATTCATATGGCTTTTCACCTGTATGCGTTCTAGTGTGTCGTTGTAGATGAACATTTTGAGTAAATGATTTACCGCAAACATCACATATATAAGGTTTTTCGCCGGTATGAATTCTCACATGTTTCTCCAGCATACAACGCGTATTAAATAATTTACCACAAACATCACATTTAAAACACGTCTGGCCTGGAATCTTATTACCATCTTTAAATTGATGTAGAATATTTTCTAGGATCTCCTCGACCTTACCATGTATTTTACAATGTTTTTCTAAATCTACGTCAGATTTAAATTTCTCATCACATACATTACACTGATGAACAGTTTCAATTTCATCAGTTTTCTCTTCCTTAAATTGTACATGACAATATTCATCTACGTCATCGGTTTTCTCTTCTTTAATACGACAATATTCATCTACATCATCAGTTTTCTTTTCTTTAACTTGACAACATTCATCTACATCATCATCAATTTTTTCTTTTTTAACATGTATTTTATTGTGATTTTCTAAATCATCATATTGTTGAAAAATCTCATTGCATACAACACACTGATGGAATGTGATAGAATCATTAACTTCCTGTAATATATAAAAGTTATAACATCATTAATTTCTTATAATATATAAAAGTTATAACATTATTAGTTTCCTGTAATATATAAAAGTTATAACATCATTAATTTCTTATAATATATAAAAGTTATAACATTATTAGTTTCCTGTAATATATAAAAGTTATAACATCATTAATTTCTTATAATATATAAAAGTTATAACATTACTAGTTTCCTGTAATATAAAAAAGTTTTAACATCATTAGTTTCCTTATAATATGATTAGTTTCCTGTAATATATAAAATTATAACATCATTAGTTTACTGTAATATATAAAAGTTATAACATCATTAGTCTCCTGTAATTTATAAAAGTTATAACATCATTAGTTTACTGTAATATATAAAATTATAACATCATTAGTATCCTGTAATATATAAAAGTTATAACATCATTAGTTTCCTGTAATATATAAAAGTTATAACATCATTAGTTTCTAGTAATATATAAAAGTTTTAACATCATTAGTCTCCTGTAATATATTAAAGTTGTAACATCATTAGTTTCCTTATAATATGATTAGTTTCCTGTAATATATAAAAGTTATAACATCATTAGTATCCTGTAATATATAAAAGTTATAACATCATTAGTTTCTAGTAATATATAAAATTATAACATCATTAGTCTCCTGTAATATATAAAAGTTATAACATCATTAGTTTACTGTAATATATAAAATTATAACATCATTAGTATCCTGTAATATATAAAAAAGTTATAACATCATTAGTATCCTGTAATATATAAAAGTTATAACATCATTAGTATCCTGTAATATATAAAAGTTATAACATCATTAGTATCCTGTAATATATAAAAGTTATAACACCATTAGTATCCTATAATTTATAAAAGTTATAACATAATTAGTTTCCCAAGCTTGTAATGTCCAGGCTTCACTCAGCTGAATGTCATTTCTTGATGGTAGCAGTCTGCCACTTGATGTTGTAAGCTAAAATTTAAAAAAAATAACAATAACAAGGGTGATATTCTGGTTAGAATTTGGAAAACTCTAAACAAAAAATAAAATGAACAACGTAGGAATAGAAATAATGAATGAAATCAAACGTATCTAATCAAGTGAATGGATTTGGTGCCCAGCCATACAATCCCGGTCCTTCAGGGATACAGGATTCGCTCAAAATGCAAAAAAATAGGGTTTACAAGCAAGTTGACGTCATGAGTTGGAACGTCAAACATTTGTCCCAGGGAGAGAGAGAAGTTAGGGTTTAACGTCCACTCAACACAAACTAGGTCAATTCGGGACAAAAAAATGGTTCAATTTTATTTCAATAATTCACTTGCACGTTGGGGTCTTTAGCAGTTGGAGGAAAACGGAGGACCGAGAGAAAACCCAACAGCGGGGAAATAGAAACCACGCCACTTGATTCAATGACAAGACCCAATGATGCAACACGCACGCATTAACAATTCCACCCCACCCTGCCAAATTGTCCCAGACCTGTAAATGACAAATAATCAACGTGCACTAACCAATCAACATATAATTAATCAAAAAAACACAACACAGTTTATATGGAAATACAATCACTCGTTTACAGGCATAGCACGATGGTTCGACAAGTATTCTCTTATCGTTATCAAGCACAAATGTGTTGTGTTGTTAATGTGTTCAATCGCTAAATGCCACTCAAGGATTATATAATTAATTGTGTTACTTATCGATATTATTACGATCCGCCAGCATTATTCTTCAGTTATTAAACATACATTATGCAAGAGCTAAATCTGCCTATTGCAGGTCTTTCTTTTTTGTATTCCTGATTTTTTTTTTAAATTCGAGTGAAGTCTGACACCACAGGCCCGGGACTGTACAGCGCAGTGGAAGCTTACGGCTGGCCCCCGGATCCATTCACTTGATTTGATATTTGTTTATTTGGTGCAATGTCTATTTTCTGTCTTGTCAGCAGGTTTATCTTGTAGATTTTTGTTTTACGTGTAGTGCGGTCCTCCTGCACTTACTATTTAAGTCTGAAATGTTTTCTAAATTATTAATTAGACATTAATTAACTTATCCAGGCCATAATCAACTCTCGATGGCATCAGATTTCTCTGATATTAAATAGATTAGAAAGGTTCAGTCATATTTTGATTTAAGCTAAAAAAGGAGGAGCGAGACTTAGCTTCGAACAACCAGTACGGTGGTTAAAATTATTGCACACGTCTTGTCAAACCTTCAAAGGCTAAATCTTTAATGCAATAGAGTAATTTGAATGAAATTTTCAAATTATTCATTTTACATTATCTATTTTCAAACAATTATAGCAAGAATGACAAGCTCTTTATCTAAATCTTACATAATGTATCTTTAATGTTGTCATGGTGACTAAATATGATGTATTTTTGTCTAATGACAGTGAAGGGATCAGGTATTTTTGATCATTTCAGAGCGGAAAATGTGGGAACAGAACAAGAATTTCTAGTTGTAATGGACGTAGCGCATGACCTTATATAGGTATCAGACAATTCTGACTCTCATAGTGACCATCGCATTCTGCTGTGACATGTTACGTAATGAGCCGATCGTATTCAGGGGCTCTCTGGTTTCTAATTGCTTTTTTGTTGGCTATTTTTAGAATATTCCATAAGAGGAAAAAATCCTGTATAGCCTCGTTTTCAAAAAAAAATGTCAGAAATTTTTACAACGATAAACGACTGAATTGAAAATTTGGCTTGCTTTCAAATCACCTAAAATATAGGATGAAACGAAAGGAATTCTTTCTAAAATAACCATTAATCTTTATATTGTTGAAGTTTTGAGGAAATCTGATGTTCAGAAAGTAGTTTTTGAACGCCTGGTAGATTAGACATTCTTTTAAAATTACAAAAGAGGGCAGCAAGAACTATTCTTGATGCACCGATTGAAACTCTGTCCACCTCTTTAATTACTAAACTCGGTTGGCTTACCCTTACACAGAGGATTCTTTACAATAAAATTGTCTTATCATTCAAAATTATTACATTTAATACTCCACTTTATCTAAATTCCTATTTTATTTGAAAAATCTCTTGTTTCCAAAACGGATATCTTGCTCTGTTCACAGACCAGTAAATCTCTTTTTCTTCAAAAATGCAAAACGGAATCCATGAAACGTACTTTTCATTATTCTGCATGTCTTTTATGGAACAATCTGCCTTTTGATATAAAGATGTGTAAAAATGTTGAAAATTTTAAGATTAAACTGAAAACTCATTTATTTTGCACACTGAAAGAACCATAATATTCAACTGATGACATACTTATTATTTTTAACTTGCAACTGCATTCTTCTATTTTATTTTGTGTGTAATTATAGTGTTCTTCCTATATTCTACTTGTATAATGTATATGTTTTGTAGTTTGGGAGTTTGGGAGTGACTTATCAAACTTCCAACTTTAAAATGCTATTGCATTTCTAATGATTTTAAATTTATCCTGATATTACATGTATATATGTCTTTGTAGCTTAGGAGGGACCTATGGAAGATTAGTTTTTTTGCAAACTAAATACTTTGCCTCATTAAATAAAGTTTTTATTATTATCGATGGTTCATAGTTTGGGGCATCATGGCCGATGAAATTGATCTGATTAAACCGTTATTTGAAAATAAATGGTGTGTATTCTAATTCTAGTCAACTCTTATTTTACTTTTTTTATGTCTTACAGTTATTCTATTCGACCAATGGTTCTGGATTTAGGACAGGTTTGTTACGAGTGAAGTTCACCATTCGATTGCAATCTAGGTCAATTGACCAAAATACGGGTCACAAATAATTTTATAAATAAACTTAATGCAACAGGAAAAATTATTTTGACTTTCAGCGACTAAAATTGCCATAACGTTTTGATTCCATGAACGATTTTGACTATTTTGCTATCATTTTGGGGGTTTTTCCACGATACACCCATACATGTAGGCCTATATAGTTCAGCTCCTAACGTAGGTCTCATTACACTCACCCTGTACACTTACACTTACAGTCCCTGTGAGCGCCTGAACAATGTAACTGAACATCTTAGTGAGAAAATAAGACCTTGCTCACCTCGCTAGAACCAGTATGAGCGACACAACACGCTGTTAAAAAATATGTCCTTAATAGAAGAGTCCCTGAACGTACAGGGTGAGTGTAATGAGACCTACAAGTCATGTCAAACGGTGATATCATGTTCTTATTTGGAGAGCATGCGCAATAAATAATATCGGTGTTGACTGGAATAACCAGACACTAGAAACTGTCTTGCGGTTGAGACTTCTGACGTATTTCACCGAACATAACTGATGACAATTCCCAGTAAAACGGACACGATTGAATGTAAAACAGTTTATATAAATTCATATTACATTATTATATGTGTTGCGACCCATTTGACGTGCCAATCTAGGTCAGAGAGAGAGAAAATGAAAATGGGGTTTAACGTGCACTCGACACAAACTAGGTCATTTTGGGACTAACATATGGTTTAACTTTATTTCAATAATTCGCTTGCGCATAGGGGTCTTTAGCAGTGGGAGGAAACCGGAGGACCCGGAGAAAACCCACGAGGTTGGACAGGCCACCCTACTCCTTGTCACATACAACCGGGGATTCGAAACCAAAATCTAGGTCAGAAATATTAGCAATTTAGCTCCTTTAACACTGACCAATATATAAACTTCTATCACACCGATAAAAGATCAATCTCTAAAGCATGTAGTGGAGACAGTAATCTATTAGAATGGAGAATGAATTAATAAAATTATCTCACCATTTTACAACAGCAGTCCCGATATTATTATAACAAAACAAGCAATAACACACTTCCGGTACTAAGAATAAATTTATTTTGGACATGGACTAGGCCGACACGAACGGTTCTGAATTGGCGACGTTGAGTGACCGAATGGTTTGATTTGTGCGTGCGCGTGGTTTCGATAATTTCCACACTTGTACGTGAAAAGTTCAACCTCGTGCACCCCCCCACCCATGCTAAACTGGTAGACTTATGACCGGGATTCACTTATAAACAAAACAAATCTCACTTCGTCCTCGACAATTGTGAGAGAGAGAGAGAGAGAGAGAGAGAGAGAAATGGGGTTTAACTAACGTCCACTCAACACAAACTAGGTCATTTCGGGACTAACATATGGTTCAATTTTATTTCCATAATTCGCTTGCGCGTAGGGGTCTTTAGCAGTGGTGGGGGGGGGGGGTGGCGGAGGACCCGGGGAAAACCCACGAGGTTGGACAGGCGACGCTACTCCTTGTCACGTACAACTGGGGAATTGAAACCACGCCAGTCGACTCAATGACTGACCGTATGATACAGCGCGCATGTGCTAACCATTCAGCCATCCAACCCCCCTCGACAATTGTGTTTAGTTATATTTTGCACTAATATTAATATTAGATTGTATATCCATTGAAAACAATTGTAATTTTAAAATGTCCCTCAAAAATAAAATAAAACCATGTACGTCAGGGGTCGTACGAGCGGCTTTCGACCCTACGACGTTAGAGATTGATTAATCAATCAGCGTTGATGTTTCTAGTGGTTTACTTACAGTTCCGCGCGTCGCACACCAAGAATTCGCCTTAATTCTGGAATTCACTACCTCAAACTGTCAAACATGCGTTGTCATGTTTTATCTTCAAAAAGGAGTTAGTAAAACACGTTAAATCTTTGAACCCTTGTTAATTATTGTTGACCTCTGAATATATGTTTATTTGCCATTTTATTCTTTCTTGTTTGTTTGATATTTCTTTTTAGAGAGGGAGAGAGAGAGAGAAATGGGATTTAACGTCCACTCGACACAAACTAGGTCATTTCGGGACTAACACATGGTTCAATTTTATTTCAATAATTCGCTTGCGCGTAGAGGTCTTTAGCAGTGGCAGGAAACCGTAGGACGCGGAGAAAACCCACGAGGTTGTATCTTTATTATAAGCTTATATAATATGATATATATGCACTTTGTAAATATTATTACTGTGTAGTTGCTAGTTTTATACTGTGTAATTTGCTAGTTTTATACGGGGGGTTGGATGGCCGAATGGTTAGCACGTGCGTGCTGTATCATAAAGCCTGTCATTGAGTCAACTGGCGTGGTTTCGAATCCCCGGTTGTACGTGACAAGGAGTAGGGTCGCCTGTCCAACCTCGTGGGTTTTCTCCGGGTCCTCCGGTTTCCCCCCACTGCTAAAGACCCCTACGCGCAAGCGAATTATTGAAATAAAATTAAACCATATGTTAGTCCCGAAATGTCCTAGTTTGTGTCGAATGGACGTTAATCCGCATTTCTCTCTCTCGCTAGTTTTATAGAGTAGGAGGGGCATGTTGAAAATTAGAACTCATGTACTAAATATGTTCCCTGAGAAAATAAAGTCATTATTATTATTATTATTATTATTTATCGGGTATTGATTAAAACTATATGGTTTAACGCCTCGGTAACACGCGTTAATTTACATCATGATTCTACACGGGATATTGATTGGTTCTGTCGTCTATATAATATCACTGTTAAAACAGAAATAGTCCATTGTGTCGTCTATATTAAATACATAACATTTAGAACAACAGAAACTAGTGCTTGTAATACCGCTAATATCACAGTTACAACAACAGAAGCCAGTTCCTAATATCACAGAACAACAGAACTAGTTCATTGTGAGTAGAATCTAGTAATTCTATAATTGATATAAACTAGTTATTGGTGATACAGCTAATTAGGACAACGTTAGTAGAACATAGTAATTGTTTATTAATGTAAACTAGCCCCAGGTAATACAGCTAATTAGGACAACGTTAGTATAACATAGTAATTGTTTATTTAATGTAAATTAGCCCCAGGTAATACAGCTAATTAAGACAACGTTAGTATAACATAGTAACTGTTTATTTAATGTAAACTAGCCCCAGGTAATACCGTTAATTAGAACATCGTCATTCTTTAATATGTGTGTACCTCGTGGGTTTTCTCCGGGTCCTCCGGTTTCCTCCCACTGCTAAAAACCCCTACGCGCAAGCGAATTATCGAAATAAAATTAAACCATATGTTAGTCCCGAAATGACCTAGTTTGTGTCGAGTGGACGTTAAACCCCATTTCTCTCTCTCTCTTTACCATGTGTGTAAACTAGCTCCAGGTAATACAGCTAATTAGAATGACTTTAGTATCATATAGTAATTGTTTAATTGATGTAAACTTGTTTCTTGTAATACAGCTATAGAACCAGTAAGTATGATATAGTAATTCTCTAATTGATGTCTATTCGTCAACGTCCAACCGCGTGGGTTTTCTCCTGGCCTTCCGGTTTCCTCCCACTGCTAAAGACCCCTATGCGCAAGCGAATTATTGAAATAAAAATTAAACCATATGTTAGTTCCGAAATGACATAGTTGTGTCGAGTGGACGTTAAACCCCATCTCTCTCTCTCTCTCTCTTTCTCTCTCTCTCTCTCTAATTTCATAAGTTATTGTGTCAAAAAAGGTGATAATAAAACAATATGGGATTTCCCGTCTGGATGTTCATCATCAGCCTTCATCATCAGTGAATTTAGAATAACACAAACTAGTACCTGGTTATACAGCCAATTAGAACAACATTAGTATCAATACAGTAATTCTTTAATTGATGTAAACTAGTTCCTTGTAATACAGCTTATCAGAGACAGTTAAACATACATTATGCAAGAGCTAAATCTACCTATTGCAAGTCTATCTTTAGGCCTAAAATGTTATCTAAATTATCAATTAGACATTAATTAACTTATCCAGACCATAATCAACTCTCGATGGCATCGCTAGCCTGCGATATTTTCTGGATTAGAATCTTATCTGCTGCTTAATGCGCATTGATAATTAAATCAAAAAATGGATAATCGAGACTATGTTTTTTTGTCGTACCGACTTTAGTAGTAATGAACGAGGCTAGGCCGAAAATTCTCAATTGCTTATATCTTGGTTCATAGTGGATCAATTTGACTGAAATTTAAAGCAAACTGCCTTAACATTATCTAGTTTTTAACTATTATATTGAGAACTGTCCGCTCTTTATCTAATCTCCCATAATGTATGTTTAAGTATAATATAATAATTCTTTGATTAATGTAATTTACTAATGTGATCTGTGAATAAAACGAAACCAACAATTTATTTGATCAGTGTAAAAAGAAATCGGAGGGCCTGTCATTAAGGCAAGTGGCGTGGCTTGGATTCCGCGCTTGTACGGGTGTGTGTGTGTGTGTGTGTGGGGGGGAGGCTAGTGGTTTCGATTCCACGTTTGAACGTGACAAGAAGTAGAGTCCCCAGTTTAAAACATGTCCATTGATGAGATTTCAACATTAGGATACATGGCCCTGTTTCTCGAAATCTTAGTAGATACTTCAATTTTGATTGGCTAAGCACTAAAATTAATCTAATATTATCCAATCAAATTACTAAAATTTGGATTTTATCTTAGTTAAAATTTCGTGAAACAGGCCCCCGGTCTTCACCCCTACACCCGGAGTATTGGGTGCCCTTTACTGAGCCAGACTTGGGAATCTCAGACTCCACCCCACTCCCCCTCCCCCGCATGTGGATGAAAGAATTAGGTGATATCTTATGCCACGGTGTAAAGGACGTATATCTATTTCAGATTATGGCGACCATGTTGATGTTAGTGAAATCATCTTTTGTTGTGTTCATGGTGATGAATTCGGGTAGTTTATTACAATTTTACTTATATTCTCTTCAAAGCCGGGGTGGATCAGGGCGTAAGACACTGACTCACTAATAGGAGGTGCGGAGTTCAATCTCTGCATTGGCCGAGAAAGTTCATCCAGATTTTCCGGCGTGGTTTCCCCTTGACAGTGATGCAGGATGGACAGCCCGACAAGAACAGCTGTCTAGTCGTTTGGATGGGACAAAAAAACTGAGGTCCCGTGTACACATTGGCGTGCACGTAAAAGATCCCTGGATATTTGGAATTCGATATAAGAGTAGGCCGTAGTGCTGCTGTCCGGGCAAAAATTGCCTCATAGCACACTGTATGGCGTATGCCCGTCTTCATTAGCCCAGTACGGAGCAGAACAGTAGGACGTTAAACCCCATTTCATTTCATTTCATTTCGAAGCCACGGTGGATCAGTGCGTAAGACACTGACTCACTAATGGGAGGTACAGAGTTCGATCCTGATGTTAGTATTTCGGGATTTCCAACGTGGTATCCCCTCGCCAGTGGTGTAGGATAACCACAACGTCTATCGTAAGTTTCCCCTCGTCAGTGGTGTAGGCACTCGGCAAACCTCAACAGATTCCAGTACCCTACATCTTATCTCGGATGTATGACAAAGTCCGCCATTAGAACTACTTTCAAGTTCCCGGATTACAATGGCGTTGTCCATGACGACCAATGACGTGATTGATGACGACGTATTTGAAGAATGTTTTATCTTACAAAATTTTCAAAGTTTGAAGCTGTCTTTCTTTCAAGTTTATCCGATTTTCTTTAGACAGGGACAAATTTGCACTGAAAATTCTACACACTCTTCGAACGACGCAATTTTGAGAACTTCTTTCTAAACGCGTGCAAGTTTCCCTTATAAGTAAACCGGTGCCGCATCGCAAATGTATAGGCGTAGGTACATATCACTTACTGTCATACAGCCGAGGTTTGCCGAGTGTGGTGTAGGGCAACCAAAACGTCTATCATTCGTTTCCCCTCGTCAGTGGTGTAGGGCAACTAAAACGTCTATCGTTCGTTACCCCTCGCCAGTGGTGTAGGACGGAGCGCTTGCCAAACACAACGTCTATCGTTCGGTTGGTGTACGCGTACAATCAACCTTGACATTAGGGATTCGAAAAATGAGTAGCAAAATTTCTCTCATAGCACACTGAATAGTAAACGTCCGTCTTCATTAGCCCTTTTGGAGCAGCTCTGGAAGAGTTGTTATATAATTCGCTTTCTGGATGATGTGAGGGATTGGCCAATAAAACGGCCTGTTGCGGCGAGTTTTTGTGGGTGAGGTGCGTCGAACTTTGGGTAAACCACTAGAAACGTCAACGTTGATTGATTAATCAATGTCTGACGTCATAGGGTCAAAAGCCGCTTGTATGACCCCTGACGCGACATCCTACTACAACTGGTCAGATCTTCATGTAGTGTAGGCCATCGAAAGTATAAAAAAAACGAAACGCAATATAGATCTGTATTTAAATCAGATTGGTTGATATTGAGTTAGAGGCTTGCCTCCTTTAAAACTCATATGACCTCTGACACGACCTTTTATTACAGCCGGTCAGATCTTCATGTAGTGTAGGCCATCGAAAGTATAATAAAAAATGAAACGATATATAGATCTGGGCCCAGTTTCTCGAAATCTTAACTATAGATAACATCCAAATTTTAGTAGATACTTCAATTTTGATTGGCTAGGCACTAAAATCAACCTAATATTATCCAATTAAATTACTAAAATTTGGATTTTATCTTAGTTAAAATTTCGTGAAACAGGCGCCTGTTTTTGAATCAGGGCCCTTATTCACAAAATTTTAACTAAAGATAAAATCCAAATTTTAGTGGATACCTCAATTTTGAATGGCTAAGCACTAAAATGTTATCCAATCAAATTACTAAAATTTAGATTTTACCTTAGTTAAAATTTCGTGAAACAGGCGCCTGTTTTTGAATCGGGGCCCTTATTCACGAAAACTTAAACTAAGATAAAATCGAAATTTTAAGAAATACTGCAATTCGATTGGCTGACCAGTAAAATCAATTTGCATATATCCAATGAAGTTGCAGTATCTCTTAAAATTTGGATTTTATCTTAGTTTAAGTTTTCGTGAATAAGGGCCCCGATTACTTATTGTCATCACATTCTAATTTTATTATAGTAATGATGGTACTATGCCTAGTGGAGAAACAACTCGGCTGTTATCACCCAACAGACTCGTCATGTTCTATTCATACCCTAACTTGTCCTGAAGATAGACGCCTCAGCATCTACAGCCTGTATTACTATACGCATCCATCAACTACCACATGTCCTCTAGAACAAGATGAATGTGAAACTAGTCCATGCTGTACCTGGAGTAATGGTGATACATTACAACCTTACAATGATCAGGATAGTTTAGATGTTTATAAAACCTGTTCTATTCAACAATCATGTTCCATCACCTCTCCTTACAATCATACAACAGGTTATCATTACGTAGAGTATGGTTACGAGTGTGAACCTGGTACGTAAACTATCAACTGGTATATCTTTAAAGGGACAATAACCAGGGGCGGATCTAGGAATTTTGAAAAGGGGGGCGCTGCAAAATGAAGGCATTGACCGCGGAGACGGGGCACGCCGCTGTGTGTGTGTGGGGGGGGGGGGCCCAAGAAAATTATCCGTCATTTCCTTGCATCTGTTTGAGTCATTTGGGATCCCTACAACGGGTTGGGAACGGACATATTTGAGTCTGAGAAAAGGCACTTTCAGCAGTAAAAAAGGGCACTGTCGAAAATTAGGGGGGGGGGGGCGCCCCTCGCGCCCCCCATTGAATCCGCCTCTGATAACACTCTTGCCGGCTTGACAGCTCCAGAAAATAAAAAATAGCCTTATTTTAAGTACTAGATGTGTTAGCGTCTTGCCTGTTGTGTAAATTATCCATTAAATCCTATTTTACTTGTCCAGAGGGTTCAAAAATATTTTTAAATCCAAGTCACATTTGAAAAGCTTTACGTCAGGCTTTTCAAATCATTTAGTTGAATTTTTCCAATTTTTTAAATTAGGTGTGTTACGATGAAATTTGTATCACCAATTAAACATGCATTATGCAAGAGCAAAATCTGCTTATTACAAGTCTTTCTTTAGGCCTGAAATGTTATCTAAATTATTAATTAGACATTAATTAACTTATCTAGACCATAATAAACTCTCGATGTCAAGGCTAGCCTTCGATGTTGGCTGGATTAGATTCCTATATGCCGCTAACGGCCGTTGATAATTAAATCAGAAAAAGTGGATAATCGAGACTATGCTGTTTATATTAATGATTTTAGTAATGATGACCGAGACTATGCAAAAATTTCACCCGCTTCTTTCTCGGCTCATAGTGGATCAATTTGACTGAAATTAACAGTATCTTTAGTTGAAATATTGTAAAATAGTACAATTTGTTGACCAGAATAAAGATTGGGACGTATTATTCAGTTACAACAAGAGTGGTATTGATCAGCCTTTAGCATGTTTTACATATGTTTTACATATTGAAGTACTAATACGTTATATAAATTAAATCAAAATATGGCTGAACCGTTCTAATCTATTTAATATAATACAATGATACGACAGGTTATCATTATGTAGAATATGGCTACGAGTGCGAACCTGGTAAGTTATATATATATATATGTTTACTAGGTCAGCTGTTATATCTTTAACGTGTTTTACTATAACAGCCCTGGGGCCTTATTCACAAAAACATAAATTTCTTAAAATCGACTGTAACTTAAAATTTGACCTCAACTTAAAGATACATTATGCGAGATTCGATAACGATTTGGCAGTTCTCACTATAATAGTTAAAAACTAGATACTGTAAAGGCAATTTGCTGAAATTTTAGTCAAATTGGTCCACTATGAACCGTGAATTAAGCGGTTGAAAGTTCCGCCTAGCCTCGATCATCATTACTAAAGTCGATAGAATAAAAAACATAGTCACGATTATCCATTTCATGATTTAATTATGAATGGAAATTGGAAACCAATCCAATAAATATCGCAGGCTGGTGATGCCATCAGGAGTTGATTATGGTCTGCATAAGTTGATTAATGTCTAATTAATAATTTAGATAACATTTCAGGCCTAAAGAAAGACCTGCAATAGGCACATTTAGGATAAGCCATAATCACTAAACTCATTTTGGTTTAAAGCGGAAATTGCAAATTTTCAAGTTATATTTTTAAAATGTATTAAAATAAAGCCTAAAAATAGATGGTATCCATAAACAGTCCTACCTTGTTAAAGAATAATCCTATTAATCCTATAATTCGCTATTGCCAGCTGAGAAATTGGCAAAAATATCATTTTTAACTTCAAATTCCAACGTTGGAACTGTCTCTTATTCAACCTCTTGTAAGTGGAAAACTAAATTGCCATCGCATATATAATTATGTTAATAATAATATTAAATGAATAGATACAAACATATTTTAATACCATATTAAATATGTATCTCTCTTTCATCTTTTAAAGTTCTACAGGACAATGTATACATGTTTCATATATTTTATAAATATGTGGTACTCTCTCTCTCTCTCTCTCTCTCTCTCTCCCTTTCTCTCTCTCTCTTTCTAAGATTTTTTTATTTCAATTTTTAACATATATTACAGAGTATTATATCCATGATATCATGACAACTGAAAGAATATCATTCAGAGGCGGCCATTTCTCCCTGTATTACAGTGGTAAAGATTCACCAGCTAAAGGTTTGACATGTTCCTGTGTTCTACCTAAAGGTGATTTTACCCTGAAGATGCAGCTATTGTACATCTACCTGAGTGGTGAATCATGTACCAGAGTAACGGTAACAGGTGACGATACACCTGAGTACACCTGTAACGATGATGGGGTATTTATCAGTAAACAGAACAATGTGCACATCAATGATATATATAGAATAACATTTAATAACCTGACCTCCAGTAATGATGATGTAATATGGATCGAGTTCACCGGTAAGAGAAGGGGGGGGGGGTGAGAGGGAGAGAGACTAACAGAGAGAGAAATGAAATGAAATGAAATGGGGTTTAACGTCCTACTGTTCTGCTCCTATACTGGGTTAATGAAGTAGGGGATACGCAATACATTGTGCTATGAGGGAAATTTTGCCCGGACAGTGGCGCTATCGCCTACTCTTATATCGAATTCCAACTGCCAAGGGATCTTTTACGTGTACGCCAATATGTACACGGGACCTCGGTTTTTCGTCCCATCCAGCAATGACCCGAGAAATCCCTCTCTGGCCATTGCTAGATTGGCTTCTGATACTTGAGCTTTTGAGGGAGTGCGTCTATTCTTCCCGTTCAATCAAATCTATCCCAAATACAGTGACATGACAGCCTTTCGTTTAATCTGGGGTCTTCCCTAAAACTTTGGATAGTGATTTAAGGTATTAAAAACGGCAAAATTATTGTTCGTCTCGAAACAGTATTGTGTTTACATTGTAGTCGTTTTGATAGTCTCGTTTGTCACGCAATTAGTTTTTCTGCAATATTATGCTATGCACTTGTTAATTGGGCGTAAAAAAATTCGTGAGTCATGACGTAACGTTATGTAAATATATTTGGAGCTATCTTTAAACCCGAATGATATTGTTACACTGTTAGATATTGGTTGTTAATCGGCCTATTGACCAGTCATAATTTGGAACAGAAATTTGCTTTCAATACGGCAGTGTTGAGTGGGATTAGGTCTAATCAAACGAAACACTGCGAGGAGTATGGGAGTATGCCCGTCTTCATTAGCCCAGTCGGAGCATAACAGTAGGACATTAAACCTCTTTGTATTACACTTCTATTTGTAGGTCGACCAGAGAACGCGTCATGTGATTGTAAAGCACAGTTTGAAGGTATGAAATATTTAAATATGAATTATGTAAAATTACACGGTTAGGTCTATTTGATAAGGCCAACTTCGAGATTGATCAAAGGTCACGAGATGTAAACAGGGCTAGCGCTAATACCAACCCTAATTCTAACCCTGGACCTAGCCATAGCGCTTATTCTAACCCTAACCTACATTCTCGCCAACAATCAAGTGCCCTATCCTTATTCACATCTCAGCGACCTTGACGAAATATCAGGTTGGCCTGATGAAATAGATTTAACCATGTTAATGTTATGATATCCCCAGGGGCTAGTGGGGTAGAACCATCTTCAATAGAAGGCTTGATCTCGCTGTAACTATGTACATCTTATCAAGGCCTTCAAGTAATACCCTGCATATTTCGGCACTAATTTCGATTGGGTACAAGCCCAGCTTGTGCGCCTATCAGATTCCTCGATCGTCGCGAATACCAAGTCTCGCGCTTTCAAGCTAAAATGTCTACCTGTGATAATCGAGTTGCAAAAGTTCAAGGTTCATTCAATGTCAAGGTTTCCGTTGAGGTCGCGATGTCACAACCTCTGATTGGACGCTACTGCTCACGTGTCTGTATATAACGCAGCTATAAGTTCGAGAAATGTGAAGTAAACAAGCAACGTCTAGATGTTGTAAAACTCGCAGTCGTTGCTACAGGAACATGGGGTAGAACCGGATTGATATCATTGGGGATACCGAAGATAAAGTTAACCCCTACATTTAATTAAACATACATTATACAAGAGGTAAATCTGCCTATTGCAGGGCATTTCTTTAGGCCTGAAATGTTTTCTGAATTAGTAATTAGACATTAAGTAACTTATCCAGGCCATAATCAACTTTCTATGGCATCGGATTTCTCCGATATTAAATAGATTAGAAGAGTTCAGCCATATTTTGATTTAAGCGAAAAATGCAGTAGCGAGACTGAGCTTTGAACAACCAGTACGGTGGTTGAAATTATTGCACACGTCTTGTCAACCATCAAAGGCCAATATCTTCGCTCGCAATAGGGTAATTTGAATGAAATTTTCAAATTATTCATTTTACATGATCTATTTTCAAACTATTATAGCAAGGATGGTCAGCGCTTTATCTAAATGGGGTTTAACATCCACTCGACACAAACTAGGTCATTTCGGGACTAACATATGGTTTAATTTTATTTACATAATTCGCTTGCGCGTAGGGGTCTTTAGCAGTGGGAGGAAACCGGAGGACCCGGAGAAAACCCACGAGGTTGAACAGGCGACCCTACTCCTTGCCACGTACAACCGGGGATTCGAAACCACACCAGTCGACTCAATGACAGACTTTATGATACAGCGCGCGCACGCTAACAATTCACCCATCCAACCCCCCTCGTCCCATTCAAACGACTAGACAACTTGATAACGATAAGAGAATACTTGGGATACCGAGGATAAAGTTAACCCCTACATTTAATTCATATCCGTACAGACCGTATATACAAGTGAAATGAAATGGGGTTTAACGTTCTACTGTTCTGCTCCTAACCTGGGCTAATGAAGACGAGCATACGCCATACAGTGTGCTATGAAGGAAATTTTGCCCAGACAGCGGCGCTATGTCCTACTCTTATATTGAATTCCAGCTGTCAAGGGATCTTTTCTATATACATACAAAACATTAGGGGTGGCTAAGTGGGTAAGAGGCTGGCTCGCTAGCGTGGAGGTCAGGTGTTCGATCCCTGCATTGGCCGGCGTGATGCCCCCTTGTCAGTGATGCAGGACGGAGGCCCTGACAAGGACAGCTGTCTAGTCGTTCGGATGGGATGAAAAACTGAGGTCCCGTGTACAAATTGGCGTGCATGTAAAAGATCCCTTGACAGTTGGAATTCGATATAAAAGTAGGCCGTAGTGCCACTGTCCGGACAAAAATTTCCCTCATAGCACACTGTATGGCGTATGCCCGTCTTCATTAGCCCAGATTAGGAGTAAAACAGTTTATAATAATGATCACTTATATGATTTAATGACTATCAGGTCCAGATTCATTAGTCAACGGTATCAGCTTACCAGTGAAAGATTACATGGCGGAAATAATTTAATATTACTAACATCGGTGCCCGCGGCGGAGCCAAGGCGGGGAATGGGTCGACACTTTTAAGAAATATGGGACGGGGCTCCGCCGTCAATACAATCCACCAATCAGGCCCCCCTCCCCACTCACACACTTTTTAATCTTGACTCTGCTACAATAAAATAAACAATACAGGTAATATTTACTGTTACAGTGAGGAATGGTAGCTGGAGTAATTGGTCTCTATACAGCGCCTGTTCTGTTACATGTGGTGGATGTAACAAGACCAGGACAAGGAAGTGTAATAATCCAACACCAGCTAATGGTGGGACTAAATGTTCTGGTAAAACTATGATGTATTCTCGATGCAATGAACAGCTGTGCCCAGGTTTGTAATTTTATAATTACTTAAATATAAATTATGGGATACCAGATAAAGAGCTGGCAGTTCTCACTATAATAGTTAAAAACAAGATAATGTAAAGGGAATTTGCTGAAAATGCCAGTAAAATTGATCCACTCTGAACCAAGAATTTAGCAATTGAATTTTAGGCCTAGTCTCGATCATCATTACTAAAGTCGGTGTGATAACAAACATAGTCTCGTTTATCCATATTTGGATTTAATCACCGATGAGCGTTGAGCAGCAGATCAGATTCAAATACAGTAAATATCACAGGCTAGCGATGACCTCGAGAGTTGATTATGGTCTGGATAAGTTAATTAATGTCTAATTAATAATTTAGATAACATTTCAGGCCTAAAGAAAGACCTGCAATAGGCAGATTTAGCTTTTGCATAATGCATGTTTAACCATAATATAGCCATGACAATGCACACAGTGATCGTATTCATTTATTTTCCGGCGTGGTTTCCACCATGTATAGTCGTTCGGATGGAGAGAGAGAGAGAGAAATTGGGTTTAACGTCCACTCGACACAAACTAGGTCATTTTGGGACTAACATATGGTTTTATTTTATTTCAATAATTCGCTTGCGCATAGGGGTCTTTAGCAGTGGGAGGAAACCGGAGGACCCGGAGAAAACCCACGAGGTTGGACAGGCGACCCTCGTTCGGATGGTACGAAAACCTGAGATCCCATGAACGTAGAAGAACCCTTGACCATTAATGCAGTGTTGGTATTGAATTATTGGCATTAGGAAACTGGGATGTATTCTGTGAACACCACAATTAACGGTCGCTCGCTACTAAATTATATGACTCAGATGGGTTTAAGTGCCCGTCTTCATTAGCCCAGTTCGGAACAAAACAGTAGGACGTTAAACCCCATTTCATTTCATTTTGGGTTTAAGTGTTATAACGAAGTTGATAAATCCAAGATGAAACAAATCATACCTCGTGAGCGCTCTTGAAACATTACTTTTTATTTTCGTTATAAAGTGTCGCATGTGTACATTACTACCCATCTTCCATTAGCACAGTCAGAACAGAACAGTAGGACGTTAAACCCCATTTTATTTCATTTTCTCAATTGATCGACTTCAGATTTTATACACATACACACCTTGAGAAAAGATAATATAAAAAAAATATTAGGTAAAAATACAACAAAAATGTATAATGTTAGGTAAATATATATATAAATATTTGTTGTATTTTTACCTAATATTTTTTTTATAATCTATTGTCAAGGTGTATATTTATATCCAAACTTATTAGTACAACCGTAAAGCTGCACTACTTTGTTTCACGGTAAACGATGAAAAGATAAAAGGTATGCCTACACAAACTGATTTCAACACTGGTTTAATAACATTTTAACATTTTAATGTATATAAATTACAATGGAAGAGGACAGTAAATTTTGGTGGAATGGTCAAATGTGGATTGGAATTGGTGTTGGAACTGGTGTTTTGGTTTTGGTCATTCTGATATTCGTTATTACATGGTACAGTACACATTCTTATTGTTATATAATATAATTATTAAAGATACATTATGTAAGATTTAAATAAAGAGTTGACAGTTCTTACTATAATAGCTCGGGGATCACGTAGCTAAGTGGGTAAGAAACGCTGACTCGCTAGCCTGGAGGTCGGGTGATCGATCCCTGCATTGGCCGAGAAAGTTCATCCAGATTTTCCGGCGTGGTTCCCCCTTGTCAGTGATGCAGGGCGGAGGGCCTGACAAGGACAGCTGTCGAGTCCTTCGGATGAGACGAAAAACCAAGGTCCTGTGTATACATTGGAATGCACGTAAAAGATCCATAGGTAGTTGGAATTCGATATAAGAGTAGGCGATAGTGCCGCTGCCCGGCCAAAATGTCCCTCATAGCACACTGTATGGCGTAAGCCCGTCTTCATTAGCCCAGTATAGGAGCAGAACAGTAGGACGTTAAACCCCATTTCATTTCATTTTTGCTATCATAGCTCAAAAATAGATAATGTAAAAGGAAAATATTGAAAATTTCTTAAGAAACACTTGTCTGCGATATCACCCTAGGAGGTAGTGGACGTTAAACCCTAGGAAAGAACGAAGGCGTAGCGTCTAGCCATTCGGATGGGACGAAAAACCGAGGTGCCGTGTACCTTGTATGGCACATGCTCATCTTCATTAGCCTGGTAGATGCAGATTCATTCATGTATTCTATTACACGTGTACAATATGTAAATTATTATTCAATATTTTTATTGCCAGGTTTGTAAGACGAAAGAGAAATAGTAACATCTCCTCCACATCAGACCAAAATCAACCAACGGTTTGTACTGGAAAAAAATCGGAAGAGGAAGCTGCTGGTTATCTGCAGTTGTGCGATGCAGTGGATGCAGGCCCGTAACTTTTTTTTTTGGGGGGGGGGGGGGTCGGGGGAGGGGGGTGGCTGTGAAAATATTTTCGACCATAAAAAAATAGATATACATTGTCCGTCAATATTACAGCCCCCCTAAGAACACTTCCCGCCCCGCTTGTTGCTCTGAGCTAGTTACGGCCCTGAGTGGGTGACAAACCAAAACGATATGTCACAGACAGAAAAAACGTACTATCTCCCCCTGTTCATTATCTTCACCTATACCAAGCAGTGGGTGACCATACAACACGACATACATGTATTACAGCCAGAAAAAAAGGAGTAAAGACTGACATTTGTTTTGAAGAGTTATCTCCCCACACCCAGTTAATTATCTTCACCTGTACCAAGCAGTTGGTGACCATACATGTATTACAGCCAGAAAAAAAGGAGTAAAGATTGACATTTGTTTTGAAGAGTTATCTCCCCACACCTCAGTTGACTATCTTCACCTGCCCCAAGTAGTTGGTGACCATATGGTCTATAATATCATGTATTTTATATATCAGACATTCAATTTGTAATAAACAACAAACTTAATTTCGTATGGAGTAATATCTACTGTAAAATTTAATAAAGAGAGAGAGAGAAGGAGAGAGAGAAAGAAATGGGGTTTAACGTCCACTCGACACAAACTAGGTCATTTTGGGACTAACAAATGGTTTAATTTTTTATTTCAATAATTCGCTTGCGCGTAGGGGTCTTTAGCAGTGGAGGGGTAGGGCGGAGGACCCAGAGGAAACCCACGAGGTAATTTGTAATAAACAACAAACAATAGTACAGTCAAATAATTTCGAATGGAAAATGGAATTCTTTCATCTCTTGTTCTAACGAATTTGTTTTATTTCTTAACGGCTGGTTTATATCTCTTGAACAAGAATTGTTTTAACGTATTCGATAACATTGCCTTTACGTTTTAAAATTGCTATCTTTGAAATATTCTCACTAAAATTAGGCTTTAAATGACAGTGCTCAACGGGATACTGATAAAAGACATAAAAGATAATATTAAAATAAATGCACTACCTTAACAAAGCAAGGGGATCGCGGAGCCTAAGTGGGTAAGACGTTGGCTCGCTAGCATTGGCCGAAAAAGTTCATCCAGATTTTCTGGCGTGGTTTACTGGTCCCCCCCTTGTCAGTGATGCAGGACCGAGGGCCAGACAAGGACAACTGTCTAGTCATTCGGATGGGACGAAAAGCCGAGGTCCCGTGTACACATTGGCATCCACGTAAAAGATCACTTGACAGTTGGAATTCGATATAAGAGTAGGCCGTAGTGCCGCTGTCCGGGCAAAATTTCCCTCCTAGCACACTGTATGGCGTATGCCCGTCTTCATTAGCCCAGTTCGGAGCAGAGCCCCATTTCACTTCATTTCATTTAACAAAGCTTTAGCAAGAAGAATTGTTAAGGATCTTCAATTATGCTAAACCCCACATGAAAATTGATGGAGAACACACCATAATCACACTGGAATTAACTACTTTTTGTTCATTATCAACAAATATAAACTTATCGGAGAAACTTTGTATTTTAGAAATACATGTAATTAATAATAAACATAATGCTAACGTTTGATGTTTGTATTTTAATACTTTTAATCTCTTCCATCTAAAATATAAAATTTGATTGGTTTGTTTTGTTGATAAAGCTGCCAATGTTGCATTTCAAATCAAGAGTCTATGGTTGAGGCGATGTTCGTAACTCCAGTAAAGGCGAAGCTCGAAACTCTGGTAAAGACGATACCCGTAACTCCGGTAAAGGCCATGCCCGTAACCCCGGTAAAGGCCATGCCCGTAACCCCAGAAAAGGCCATGCTCATAACATGGTTAACGGCGATGCCCGTAACTTCGGTAAAGGCGATGCCCGTAACTCGAGTAAAGGCGATGCCCGTAACTCGAGTAAAGGCGATGCCCGTAACTCGGGGTAAAGGCGATGCCCTTAACTCGGTTAAAAGCGATGCCCGTAAAGGAGAAAGCGGAATATATCCGAGTAAATAATAACCAACGTACACTTTCTATGGAGCCGCTGTGGCTCGGTGATTAAGACTCTTGCTCGCGTACCTGACACCTTGGCGATTAGAATTTGATATACGCCACTTAGATGAGAAGTCTTAATTTAGCCAGGCAGTGCATAAGAGTAGGATGATAAACCCCATTCCATTTCATTTAAGGGGGAGGAGGCGAATGATTAACGAGTGCGCGTTTGATTATAAGGTCTGTCCCTGAGTCAACTGGCGTGGTTTCGATTCCCCGCTTATACGTGAAAAGTAGTAGGGTTGCCTGTACAACCTCGTGGGTTTTCTCCGGGTCCTCCGGTTTCCTTCCACTGCTAAAGACACCTACGCGAAATGGCCTATTTTGTGTTGAGTGGATGTTAAACCCCACCTCTCTCTCTCTCTCTCTCTCTCTCTCTCTCTCTCTCTCTCAGATTTCACCAATATATAGGACAGTTTGATATGAGATCAGATAATATTTTATATATGAAGCATCATGACAACATGTTTTTGGTATTAATGTTAATAAGGTTATATTAGCTGAACATGTGTTCAATATCTGTGGAATCAAATATAAAATTCTATATAACATGAAACATGACAACTTGGTTTTTATTAAACTTAATACGGTTATATGAGCTGAACAATATGATTTATTTTCAATATCCAGAGAATATAATATTTATTTGAAACATAAGTCTTCAATTACATATGAATGTACAATAACTAAACATATGGATATTAACTTTTGTATACGATAACTAATCAACTATTTTTAATCTCAGAGCCACGGTGGCGCAGTAGGTAGACGCTGGCTCGCTAACCTGGAGGTCACGTGTTAGATCCCTGCATTGGCCGAGAAAGTTCATCGGGATGTACCAACATGGTTTCCCCTTGTCAATGGTGCAAAACGGACAAGGACAACTGTCTAGTTGTTCGGATGGGACGAAAACCTGAGTCCCGTGTATAGATTGGCGTGCACGTAAAAGATCCCTTGGCAGTTGGAATTTGATATTTGAGTAGGCCGTAGTGCTAGGCGTGTACGTAAAAGATCCCTTGGCAGTTGGAATTCGATATAAGAGTAGGCCGTAGCGCCGCTGCCCGGGCAAAATGTCCCTCATAGCACACTGTATGGCGTATGCCCGTCTTTATTGGCCCAGTCAGAGCAGAACAGTAGGACGTTAAACCCCATTTCATTTCATTTTTAACCTCATCTGATTATTTTTTTGCAATAATTAAAATATTATCTCCTAATAAAATCAAACATACATTATGTAAGAGCTACATCTGCCTAGTGCAGGTCTTTCTTAAGGCCTGAAATGTTTTCTAAATTATAAATTAGACATGAATTAACTTATCCAGATCATAATCAACTCTCGATGCCATCGCTAGTCTGCGATATTTAGTGGATTGGAATACATTTTTGAAAAATAATTAAATGTAAAATTGGATAATCGAGACTTTGGTTTTTTTTTTATCGTACCGACTTTATGATTGACGATCGAGGCTAGGCCTAAAATTCAGTCGTTAATATATCGATTCGGAGTAGAGCAATACGACTGAAATTTTCAGCATCTATTTACGTTCAGGGGCGGATCTAGAGTGGTGGGGGCAAACCCCGCCCTGCCCAGCTACATAAAAAATGTAAAACAACACTTTATGAGAAAAGTGTAACGATCACGTGCTTTATCCTTTATCATTAGATGGTGGAATGGGATGGGCATCCAAAGCGCGAGATAATGATATAGACATGTGTGATATAACAATTAATGCTTTGCATCAATGAAATTAAATCACAATATGATCCTATTAATTCATAATAAAACAGGATGTTGGATTTCTCTCTTTAAAAAGCTCAGTGTGTATGTATGCCTGCGTAATTTAAAGAAGATGGTGGCATCAAGCATTGTCAACTGTCAAATTTTCTTAATAGAAGTCTGGCAAACCTCCTCCTGCAAAAATTCCTGGATCCGCACGGATGCTAATATCTATAACTATTATAGCGAAAACTGTCAACTTTTTATCTAATCTCCCATAATGCCTCTTTAATTCCTGTTCTTTTTAAATCAAACGACAATGTTTTTTAATATCTGTAAAATAATATAGTTATTTCAAACACCAGTCTTAAATTACTGGTGGATATTAACTTTTAAAACAATCTCTTGTGATAAATCAATAGTTGTTTTAATGTCGCCCGTTTCATTAAATGAAATTTATCTCCTAACAAAATTAATTTCTGTTCTCTTTTTTAATCAAATCACAACGTGTAACTTATTCTAATAGGACGCTAAACCCCATTTCATTTCAAACAATATCGTTAATATTTCAAACAATGTCGTTAACATTTCAAACATCGTCAACATTTCAAACAACATCATCAACATTTCAAACAACATCGTCAACATTTCGACCACTCTGCGCATAAAATATCTACTTCACGTCTTGGCTAATGTCTTCAATATACCCTGTAGTTCTAGTCTAGGGTAATATCTTCAATATACCCTGTAGTTCTAGTCTAGGGTAATATCTTCAATATATCTTGTAGTGTCAGTATTGGGTAATGTCGTCAATATACCCTGTAGTTCTAGTTATGCCCGTCTTCATTAGCCCAGTATAGGAGCAGAACAGTAGGACGTTAAACCCCATTTCATTTCATTTAATAAATTTGTTACTTGGGGGGGGGGGGGGTGGATGGCTGAATGGTTAGCGTGCGCGCGCTGTATCATAAAGTCTGTCATTGAGTCGACTGGCGTGGTTTCGAATCCCCGGTTGTACGTGACAAGGAGTAGGGTCGCCTGTCCAACCTCGTGGGTTTTCTCCGGGTCCTCCGGTTTCCTCCCACTGCTAAAGACCCCTATGCGCAAGCGAATTATTGAAATAAAATTAAACCATATGTTGGTCCCGAA